AAGAGACTTGTACCCAAGGACAGGTAAAAAGTGGAAGATTAAAGATTTAGAAACCAGGTCTATCTTGCTCCAAAACTTGTGTTCTTTCTACCATAACATTTTATTTCAACTATTAAATTCTTTTATTTGTTTTTTCAGTCAAACTTACCTTGTGCTTTAAAATACAGTCAATGAGCTACTAAAATAAAAAAGATCTGTTTAGGAAAATAAGTCATTACTAATCACTAATTATTAAAGACAAATTTTAAAATCTTATCATTTCATTCAAAGAATTAGTTAACTTTCTACTTTCAGACTTTGAATTTCTAAAATTACATTGCCTAGAGAATTGTTTTCCTACGGGCTACCTTAAGCCAACATAAATGCTCATTGTAAGCAATTTGCTATTTCCTTCCACCTTAAATAAACGTTTATGAAAATGACACAAGATTCAACAACCATATTTTAGTTGTCATGATAAAAGCATTTAAAAGTATCAGATGTTGTTTCCCTACAGTGTTTCTGAAGATGTCCATTCATCTACAATAGTGGCAAACCATGCAATATATATAATTCAATTACAGAGTAACAGATGGACAGAAGGTAACCATAAAAACAATGTGTACTTTGTGAAAAGAAAACTGTATGAACCAGAAGCAGCAGCAATAAAACAAGGTTCACAGAGGCACACAGGTTCAAAAATAACGAGAAAAGAAATAGCATTCTGGCTCAATGAGCAACTGACAATCTACTTACTGTTTGCTAGGTCTGCATACGTTTTGTCTTGTAGAAAAAAACAAGACATATGGCCACAAAAGATCACTGTAATTCTAATATAAATCTTTTTAAAATTATACTCAGCAAGATAATATTTTACAAATATTTGCTAGTCTCAACAAAAAAGTTTTTACCACATACGGATTCTACGAACATAAGCAATTCTAGAAACGGTTTTCCTCTCAAATTTCAGATGAGTACATTGACTCTTGATTGAAAATTATGTTCTCTTTTTACACTTAAAGGAAAATTAGCTTAAAGTGTATATTACCTATCTAAATATAGATAACAAGTAAATGAAAAGAACTACTCTGTGTATAAAACAAATACTAATAAACGTAATAATTTCCTGAAATAGTAAAGGAAAAAAGTTGAAGTGACGCATAAAACTGAAGTCTGTCTACATCTTTTTCAAGTCACTGTTGGCATTTTTACCCTTTAATTGGTTAAAAATACATATTTAAAAGACAGTAGACTTCACGTTGAATTTTGGTGGGTAGGAACAATAACCTTTTTTAACCTTTCTTAGGGAACACTGACCCCTAAAGGTTTAGACTTAAATAAGTTTCAGTCTCCGAAATTGAGCTGGTGTCTGAGCCTCCTTTTCATCCATTTCACTTTTAGAATGTACATTTATCATGAACATGTTTGTCCATAAGTGATGAGTGAACTACTTCTATGGAATGGTTGTAGACTACAAAACAATCATACCGGGTTTCAAGCTTAATAAAAACCAACAAAGTTTAATGTAAAGCAGATTAGGAACTTCTAACCCTCCAAAACAATTGCTGGCATCGGAGTCTTTTTCTGAGTTGGTGCTGCTGTTAGGTACCACGGGTGGTTCTGACCGACAGCGACTACACTTACAGCAGAGCAACTATTGCCGGTCAGTGTCAGCCGCACAATCCAGCTCGTTGAGCAGACGCTACAAAAGACTATGCAATCACATCACAACTCATCCTTCCCAAGGGTTGATTGTACATCAGTATAAACTCTTTTGATTAGAGTAATTCTATTTTTTCCCTAACAAAACAGGTTAAAAAAAAATTTTTTAAACAGAACCTTTTCACTTAAGGGCAAAGCATAACTGACTTCTTAACGGGCCAGAAGTTGTTACTGATTCTCGCTCGGCAACCCACACTTCTCACCAGACGCTGCTTCTCCTGACCTACAATTGCACTCACTGAGGCTGTTGGCCTTTTGACAGGAACCTGCATGAACACAGTGGATCTGCTTTTCACTCAGTGACCTATCAACCTCAACTTTACTATGTCTAAATTATCTGCAAAAAAGAAAAAAAGGAAGAAAAAGATAAATAGTTGTATATGTTACACTATATCTAGCTCACCAGCTCTTTGGCTGAAAATATTTCATGTTTTATAATAAAATAAAGTACAGAATGGCCTCTTCAGCATGCCTAATGATGAAACTTGTAAGACAACCCAAAGCCATAGCTCCACAATAGGAATTTCTGATTAGCCCAATTCATTTTTTAAGCTTAAACAATTTCAAATAAAATATGTTTATTTATTATATTTAATTTAAATGTAAATATTTTCCAGAACAGACTCAGAACATTAGCATAAAACATAGTATATGTTTTCAGATAAACACGAACATATTATCAAAGAGATGATGTGTTATAGCACATTAGGTATCACAAAACTCAAAAGGCATTACCTTTACTTTTTAAATTCTTTCTTAATAGCATTGTTGCTTCGTTTGTTTTGTTTCAAACAGACCCTTGAATAAAGGAATGTCTTACTCCTACTTTCCATATGAAAATGTCCCTGAAAAAATACAAACTTTGTGACTGATATTTTCAGTCACCCTAAGGGGGGGGGGGGTGTGCCTCCTGCAAACTATCCATGGGCTTCTAGACCTTCAAGTCTACAGCCTTCCTCTCTACAAGTGTCCGATGACATCAGGGTCCCGCTTCCTTGACATTCTTCCTGGTTATTCAAGATGCGTGAAAACTATTTCCCACACGGTCTCTAAACCCTTATTGAAAACAGTTCCTGGGGTACCTTGGAGATCTTCTTGTCTCCCATTTGGATAAACAAGTGGCTTTTAGAACAAATGAATGGATGCAGCACAGGTTATTTCAAGAAAAGGGGGCATCATGATTAGATTCCTCTTTATCAACTGAATAAAAATACGGTGAACTCTTCAAAAAAAGAAGAATGTTGGCTAGTTTTCTGGAATAAATGAATAAAAATAGTTACAACAAACTAATTTTCAGCTTCATGCCAATATATCCTTATCAAAAATTTGAATACAAATATAATTAAGTATCTCTGAAAACTGTTACCTGTGTATTAAAAACTTTAATGACCTTACTCAGGTACTATTTATTATTGCTTTATATAAATTCAGTTACCAGGATTCTAAAGTCTACAGAAAGTAGCCCAGAGTCATGTATGAGAAAAGAAAGGTTGTTAATAGTAGGCAAAAACAGGAAGAAAATTCAAAAATTTAGAAGCCTCCCCCTAAAAAACCAAAGTCAAGGGAAGAATGTTCAGAAAGCCTGCGTCTCTCTGCACCTCAAAAGGAAGTGCAGTTATTAACTTACTTAGTACAATGGTTACAGAATAGTCTCCCCAAATGGTCTCTGAGAAGGTAGAATGTGATTATCCACACCCAACAAGGAGCCCATTGAGAAGCAGAGTCACAAGAGGAAGGGGATGCCAACAGTAAGTTTTAGTAAGAATCCAATTTTTTGAAATGAGATTTAAAAGAAATAAATCTAAAACCTTCTTTCCTTTCCTTCCTTCCTCTTCTCTTATCTCTTTTTGAGCTTACAATTCTAGGATAATCAAGATTCTGAATAATTCCCCCAAATCACAGGTTTACAACAATTTACTATAATAGTCTCTTTAAAACCTATTTTTGATTTTACTCTCTCACCCCTGCCCCATCTCTTGATCTATTGCATATGCTAGGTCAGCAGGTTGGTCTGTCTCTCTCTCTCTCTCTCTCTCTGCCTCTCTCAGAATGTCTCTCCGTCTGACTCTTGCAGATGGTTCCTGTCCTCCACCATGTTCCTGCCTCTCCGGCTGAGTCACTGCCCACGCAGTTTTGTGTGTCTCCTTTTGTCCTTGGGTGGTTCTTTCCACATCCGTGTCTCTGCTTACAGTCTCTGAGTGTCTCTCTCCAGGCGTACATTTCTGCTGACATCTGTCTCAATGTGCATAGCGCTGGCAATGTCTCTCATTTCATGAGTGTCTCTGCGAGCGCACCTCTTTGATGGCCTGTCTCTGTGACAGTATGTGTCTCCATCAGTAGAGTGAGTGAGTATGTGTGTGTGTGTGTGTATGGGGGGTGGAGGTGATCTGTGTTTCTTTTGCTCTGTATCCATGCATATGTCTGTCCGTGTCGCTTGCTCTCTGTATCTTTCCCTCTGCCGTCTAGGTGTGTCTAGCTGTCTGCAACTCTTCGTATGAGGGAGGGGGCTTTAAAGTGTTCATGGGGAACGGAATTGAAAGAAAATGGAATGTAGCCACAACCTGTCGAAGCCCCTTCATGTGTCTTTCTCTGACGCCTTTCTGTCTTTCTTACTCTGGTACCCTCTCTTTCTCTGCCTGCGTCTTCTTATATCTTTCCTCTCTTTCCTAGTGGAGTCCCTTATCTCTGTGTTTCCATACACATCTCTTTCTATCTGTGTTTAATTCTCTCTCGCACGTGGTCACCTGTGCCTGTTTCTCTCAGGGTGTCTCTCTCTGCGTCTCTTCCTCATGTCATGTCTCTCTCTCTCTGTCTCCCCTACTCTGGGGTCTCTCTCTCTCTCTCTCTCTGAGTCTTGCCTGTGCGTTGGTTCTGGGTTTGGCTCATTGTGTGCGTCTCCCTCCTTCCTGAGTCTCCTTCTCTGTGCCTCCCTCCCCATCTGGTTTCCTTCTCTGAGCATCCCTCTGTGAGTGCCACCCTCCCCACCCCCACCCCCACCCACTCATGCTCAGTCTCCTTTCTGGCTCTTTGTGCAGATCTGTGAGTTTCTTTCTCCCTGCCTGTTCATCTCTCCCCTTCTTCCTCTCTCAACGTCTCTTTAACTGTGTAGCGTGCTCCTTCCCCATGCGGTCTCTTTAGCATATGGTCTCTTGTGGGCGTCTCTTTCATTGTGTCTGTGTGTCTGAATGTGTACATGTCTGCCTCTATCTAATATGCCGGTTAGAACAAACATACTTCTTTCAATGACTTGAACTAACTCAACACCCCAGGTTTGGTATTAATACCTTAACAGTTCTTACCTTTTGACCAGTTCTCCATTTGTACTTCTGTTCTTGTTTGATCTGGCAACGTCTCTGGGTTTTGCTCCAAGATTTGAAGCTAAAATAAAGCCAACTCTGGATAAATAAACTTAAAACAATATACCAGAACACACCTAAACTTTACCTTTGTGTAACAGAGAATTCACAAGACAAATGGCTTTCTAAAACATCTCTGGTGGGAAAATTAACTGCATATTTCAACAGGTGAAATTAAATATTTTTCTCTAAAGAGCTTCTTTTCTTCACATTTACATTGTAGACACTAGAGGTTTGGAAACTATAGGTTAAACTTCCAAACAGCCTTATTCTTTTCATTAGAAAACCATTTAGTGGATGTATCAAGTCTTCTCCAACTATAAATGCAGGTATTTGATGAAAAAATTAAGTTTTATTATTTTTGCTAAGAATTTTATTTTTAACATTTCAAGTGAAGTACATCTGGGAGTTTACTATGTATACTTTTACATTAAACATTTTATTCTTCTGAAATTAATTTAAGAATGTTGTTCTCATTTAAAAAATAAAGACCATCATTGATTTGTAGAATAGTTGGCATTTCTAGCTGGCATTTGTTTTCATATTACATACAATAAAAATGATACAGGCTTCTTAGAATAAAATTAGATTTACCTCAGAGCTAGAACCTTGTGTTCGTTAAAAAGTCCTCAAATAAAGCTGTAGTAAGCTTCGTCTTCTCCAATTCTCTCTAAATATGGTGATTTGGAGCTGGCAATCTTTTTCCAAGTTCCTCATTTACCTTTGGATTAACTGAAAATATAGGAAGTTATTAATATCCAAGAAATATGTTCCAGTCAATGAAGCCATTTCCCTACATATTGCCCCAAAAGGTTAATAATAATTGCAGTCTTTTAATAAGAGATTCATATAGCAAGACATGTAGAAAATGCAATCTTTAATAACCTCTGGAGTATTTTAAAACATGTCTTACAGGCCTTAATGTGCCTAGTAATATACTATTTAAAACCATAATTTTATCCCTCTGCAATATACAGTCACTCTTCCTCATCATTTACCCAGCTAATGAATGCCAGCAATTAGTAAAATGTAATCCCATTGCACAATCATTTTAATGCTTTTAGCACTCAGAAAAGTAAACATGAAATTAATACTGCTCAAGCCATATCAGATCCTAGTTGGAAGCAAGCAATTATAGTTCAGCTCCTCAGGTGTAATTAAATGATTGGAATGATTTAGTTCCATAAATGCAAGTTAATTCATAAGCAAGCAACAAATATACTGGGAGTAATTACAAGAAACACTGACAGGCTAAGCAGGGCAAATTCTTTTAGGAGCCTGACATAGTAAAATGCTGCCCTCTTCTGGGCCTAAAAGTGAATATCTCAGAGTGCAACGCACGCACGCACGTGCACACACACACACACACACACACACACCAATATATCATGAAGATTTTATTTTCTCTGCTAGATATATAAACACTATGGTTATTTCTAGATAACTGGGTAATTCGTGTTTCTGGTAATAAAGCCCAAGTGTAGCACACACGTCCTAGGTCTTCAGCATATCACTCACAATTATAACCTGACGGACAGACTGCGCGTGGAATTTCTAGTGCCCATCTGGGCTGCCTGATCAATGTCTGTGTTCTCTCATTCGTAAGGCTTAACTAGACTGTCATAGATTCATAAACTAGGTTTTTAAAAGTAACACATTTTCCAAAGAAAAATGATCTCTGAAAAAAAATTAAACAGAAAACACAGTACTATTACGGCTTTGCATATTAGTCTAAGGTGGTTTCCAAGAACTTAAACAATGAAAAAACTGTGACATGACTGTTATTATAAACATTTTTAAACCTAAAGTTTAACCAGCACTAAACAAAATGTAATGCACTCTGCTTTCACATAAGCTAGCCCCATCTTTTTACTTTCTTAGACTGAAATTACGTTTACTTTATTCAAGTGGTTCTTAACTAAACTTTCCACAATAAACTTTGAAACATTAATTTATTTTATTTTTAAGTTATACTATAAGTGCAATCCACAAGTCCATGTTAAAAATGAATGCTTTTGTAGCAGTACCTTCCCTCTGCCTTTCTGCATAATTGAACATAATTCCTAATAAAACATTGCCAACTGCACAACAAATGTTTAATTTTCCTAGACACGCAAATGGTACTTGCAAGGATAGTGTTTAACACAACTAAATTTTGGAGGGGGAGAGAAATTGAATTAATGCCTTTCTAATTTGCTTTCAAATGCATTAAACAAGCAGATTTCAAAGCGTATCCTATGTAAACTATAAAAATAAATCAAAATATTAAAAAGTCCTGCCACTAACTTTGAAATGTACAGCACATTTTCTTTGCCCTTTGATGGCACTGTCTTATTTTTCAATTCATATCTTGTACACTGTAAGTTAATTGCTTTTGGAAAGTACTTATTATTCATGTAAAAATTAATGTGCCAATGTGTTTAAATCCTCTTAAATGACCATTCATGCATCTTTCGTCTTTAAGTACCAATGAAATCTGTCAAAAGACATCAATGGAAAATGGTCTTAAAGAAAGTTCTAACAGAGATTTTTTTTTTCTGCTAACACAAGATTTTTATATTCACCAACTTTACTTAAATTCCATTAATTTTTTAAGCTACTTTTAATAAATTCACCAAGTAAAATTTTTAGGCCCCATAGTCTGTCATTTGTGTTCCAGCTGACATTATGAATATTAATAACAGTGTTATCCTGATTAAATAGGCTTCATATGAAATCCCTGTGGATCCTATAGCTCAGACGTCTCATTTTTCCAACTCTTTATGAATTTGGATTCAGACATTAATCTGGAAAAATCTTGAAAAACAGATTTAATGGAGCATTTGCATATTCCTAAGCAAAAATGAGATGTTATAATGATTTAAACAATTAAGTTATATATCCACATTTTGTAATATGAATACAAGATTTCTGTAAACATGCAATCTATTTCACACCTCTTTCTTTTTTAAGACAAAGAACTGAGACTAATGAAATACTAAGTCCTGCCTCACATCCACCCTAAAGAGTAGCTATCAAAAACTTGTTTTCAACCTAAAGTTACATATTCACATTAAAACTAGTGAAATGGTCTTATGGCTCACAAGTATTCAGCTAAATTGGATTTCTTCATTAAAAGAAGCTAATGTATTGTATCACAAACAAATTGAAAGTTACTTTCTTTACCATTATAAATCCACACCAGTGCGCACATGCAAACTCAATTTCCAACTACAACTTATTTGTTGATAATTGTGTTAGGGACAAAGAACGCAGCTGAGTCGGGAAGGGGAATAAAAGAAAGCAAAAGGACAATAATGAACGGAACAAAGCATACTAGTACCTTGTCAATGATTTTTAACACAGACTCCTAAAATCATTGTTCGAGTCATGCTTAATTCTCAAAGGAAGTGTTTCAAAGAACCCAAAGCTCACTACCATCAAGCCAATTCCAAATTATAGGGGCCCTACAGGGTAGAGCAGAACTGCTCCCTGGGGTTCCGGGGCTTTAAATCCTTTAGGGAGCAGAAAGCCTCATCTTTCTCCAAATGGCAGATGGAGACTCCAAAATGCTGACCTTGTAGTTGGCAGCTCAACACACAGCCAACTAGACCATCAGGGCTCCTGTCATTAAATAGGAGAAAGGAGTAAGAAATAATAATTAAGGAACGTGCGTAATTCCCCTATCCGCCAAACTTTCTGACATTCAGCCCATCAAAAACTGTAGACTGAACAAATTTAAACAAATATCCATCCCTCTTATCAAATGTGGCTCTCCTTGTTTACTCAGCACTAAAAGACTTCATGAAACAGTATTTGTTCTTTGATCAGTCTAAAATTTTTAATCTGTAAGAAATGAATAATAATAATTCTGAGTTATTCTTTAAAGACAAATTTTTGTAGAGCATTTTTTAAAAGCCAGAGCTCATTTCCCAATGTAACAGAATCTTGGATTTTCAAAAAAGTTTTCAACGGGAGATGCTCTTGTCAACGTTCTCCACAAACGTCCCATTTTAGCAAAGGTTTTTGGTGAACTTTGGTTGATGCTTTTTTTTCTCCCACAACTCCTTAATCACAAATGTAGATATTTCATTCAATATCGTGAAACTAGAAAAACATTTATAATACTACATTTAATCAACTATATAAGTCTATGGGGAGCCTTTGTTGTTATGAATTGGATTGCGATCCCCAAGGTCAACGGTTCGAAACCACCATCCACTCCAAATGAGAACGATGGGGCTTTCTATTCCCATACAGATTTACAGTCTCAGAAACTCAATGGGATGGAACTGCCATGTCCTAGAGGGTCACTATGAGTTGGTCTCCTGTCAATGGCTGTGAGTGCACGAGGGGGTACCCAACACACACCCACACACACACACGCACACACACACACACTCACCACAAATGGAAAAAAGCTCCACTGGCAGAGCTCTCATAGTGCACATATTTTCCCACTAGGCAAACATCAAGTGATTCACTCTGAGTAAGTGCACCCAGTGGTGTCACCTGAGAAGGTTCTCTATGCTCACGGTGAATTTTTCTAGTAAAAGCAGTTTTGCTCAAACCACATTTTCTTGTGTTGGCTGCTTGAAGAGAACAGAACGCGGCTGTGAAATCTTGTTTGCTTCTCAGGAAAAATGCCGCAGAAACTACTGTGAACACGGCTTACAAGGACAGCGTTATGGGAACGACTCAAGTGTTCAAGTGGCTTTCTTGCTTCAAGAAAGGTGAAATGTCGATTGATGACAAGCCTCGTTCTGGATGTCTGTCATTATCCCAAATGGATGAAAGTGTCAACTCAATGTACATTTGGAGATCGTTCCACCAGGTCAGACTGTTAATCAAGCTTTCTATTTAGAGGTTCTCAAAAACAGCATAAAAGTGTGCAAGAAAAAAGCCCACATGGAAGAAGCACACCAGCCTATGCAACCACGAGGTGTCAAAGGGATCAGGT